GCTTGCAGGAATGTTGGGGGCCAACCGCGGCCGACACCCTAAAACCGGGCATTCCATCGCAAGCCTGCTCGGCCGTGACCTTCTCGTGCCTGAGGAGCGCTCCTCGGGCACCCTCGAGCTTGGCCTGAACGTGACATAAGAGGTATAGCATTAGTATAGTATTATTATAGTATTCATATGGTATTCGTATAGTATAGTAGAGTAGAGAAAAGTATGGTATGGTATAGTATAGTACAGTACATCGCATAGTACAGTATGCTATACTATACTTGCAGCCTCCGCACCTCCTGCGTCTCCAGGTTTTCAGACAGGTTTCGGAACTGGCTGTCGGTGTGATCCCTCTGCATCAAATACCTCAAAAGATTATCTGCAACTTCCGCATTCCCCCAGCACTGGAACATATCTCCTCCGGTGTACCACCAGGATCTCAAGCGGGCGGTGACGTGCGTCTTGGCCTGGATGGCTTGGTCTCTGTTTCAAAGCGGCGGCCAAGAGGTGCCTTCACGAAGCTTGAGAAGCGCACATAGACATGCTTGACTCGTCGGAGAGCCTTTCCAACAGAAAGCTACCAAGGGCCACAGGCTTTGTGAGCTTGCCTCTCTTGTCTTGTTCAGGTGCTTGACGAAGCTTGCCTCATGGCCATTTCATGTTGCACAATGCACAGCTGCAAAGCTCTCATTGTCTCGACAAGAAACAGAGCTGTCCTACTAACGCATGTCAAGCTCGGCAAAGAGCCCAGTTGTCCATTGTGTTTCGCAGCAGCCGGCCTTTGTTGTACCTGATGCTGACAGGACGGAACTCACTCATTATTGATATGGCATATTATCGGAGCACGGATCCCACTTTGCCGCAAACTTGTCCATCATCTCACGTCGTTCTTGGTCCCTTGCAGTTTCATGAACAATGTCTGCCCGTATGGACGATTCTGGATCCCCGCTGTACTTCGAAGAACTTTTCGTGCACGAACTCCTGAAGCCTTCCAAGGCTCAACTGCCCAGCTTGACCAGTCAGTTAATCTGTGGGGTCCGTGGCCTGCCGTTCTCCTCCTGCACGTCTTGCAGCTTTTCCTGAAGCTTTCGCAGGTCTGCCTGAGCCCGAGGGATTACCGGGAATTTCAGACTTTGGAGCCATGGCTGCGCCGGTGCCTCGGTCGCACAGGAGTCGAACTGCTGCTTGACGTACTGCAAGTCACGCCTGGTGCCAGGAGAATCCTTCCAAAGCTCCCCATCAGGCCAGGCTTGCCGCATACCGTGACCGAGGGGCACGCACCATCACAGAATGCAAGTACTCCTGAAACATGGTGATCCAAGAGTGGCCAAGCTTGAAGGGTTCATTCTCTACAAGGGCACCTGGTCTTGCATCTGTTGCTTCATCTGTCAACACAACTTCAAAAGCACTTTCAAGCACTATGTGAACTTCCCATGCCCACAGCCTTGATGAACCAGCCCTTGTAGCCATCTCCCCCTGTGGAGTCACAGTGGCGCAAAGCTATGCAGGCTGCTACCGTCTGTAGATGTGTGTGCTCTGACTGCTGGCCTTCCATTGTCGCCCTTTCATTGGCCTTCCATGCACATGCAACGCGCAGGCTTCCGGCTTCCTCGCGGCTCGGGAAGTGCCTGCTGAGAAAGGAAGGTGCGATGCTCCTGTGAGCAATCGCCCTTTTCCAGAGTATAAGCACCAGAACACATGAAAGGGTCCTCATCGATAGTCTTCACCTCTGTGGCTAAAGCCTCTCGCCAAGAACAAGACGGAATATTGAACATGGTAACTATTGCTCCCCCCAATCCCTGCACCTGCACGGCCTTTGCCATTCGCGCCACGTCTTCCCCCAATGCCTCACATACAGCGGAAGGGGGGTCCAGTGCACATTCATTCCAGCGTCGAGTGCGCATTCATAAACAAACAGGATCCAGCGCACATTCTTTATATTTCTTTATCTTTCAAGCAAAGGCGCGGGCGGGGTTTCAGGTTCAGCGTTTTAGGGTTTAGGGTTTAGGGCTTTGGGCTTGGGGGTCTAAGGTTTAGGGTTTTAGGGTTTAAGCTTTAGGGTTTTGGGTTTTGAGTTCAGGGTTTAGGATTTTAGCGTTGAGGGTTTAGGGTTGAGGGCTGAGGGTTTAGGGTTTAAAGGGCTTTCAGGTTTAGTGTTTTGGGTTTAGGGCTTTGGACTTTGGGGTTTAGGGTGTAGGGTTTTAGGGTTTATAGAAATTGTTAAGGGTTTGGGCGCCAATAAGTTTTGAACGAAAGGGCTCGGGCAGGGACTCGGCTGGCTGCTGTGGGCTTGGCTGGGGGCTGGGCTGGGCTGTGGGCTGGCCTGGGCTGGGTCGGGCTTGGGCTGGGCTGGGCTGGGCTGGCTGGGCTGGTGCGGAGGGTGGTGGGGATGGGGGATTTCGACCCACTTGGCGAGCGCACACTCGATTTGGTGACTTAAGCCTTACCTGCACACTCGACCTTTTCGCGAGCGCACACTCGACCCCGCCCCCCATACAGCCAAAGCAATATCAAGACGACCGATGTTTTTTACACGGCCTCTCTCGTCACGGTCAGATTGTTGCTGACCTTAGAACATGACCGCTGCATGCTCTATCTTTGATGTGAGTATGCAGTACGTCCAAACACCCGCCTGCTCCAAGTTCTTTGCAGTGCGAAAAGCATGGTCTGCTGCGTTCTCGACACGATGTTGTTCCTGGCAGCAAGCGAAAGCCCTCTGCTCGAGGACGATTGGGAGCGGCATCGGCAGAAGACCTTCTGCTGACATGTTAACAAGCCAAGCAGACATCGCGGAGGCGGGCAGTGTTGTCGACCGTGGCAGCATCTGGGCTAAGACCACTGATACAGTAATAGGGAAAGGTTACTCGGCGACTCTTTGGTGCGTTCCAACTCGTTCTCCGAGCCGGCTGCTGATCTCTGCTAGTTTGCCGAGGACTTCATCATGACCCTCCTGATGCTGCCTTTCGCGTACCACATGTCGCTAGGAGGGCGAGACAACAACACCCTCAGCCTGCTCTCCGTTCTCAGCGCTTTGAGAGCGTTAATCAAATTACCTGCGAGTGTCTTGAGGCTCCGTTCTGCGTTGCATAGCCAAACTTTTTTCTCCCAGGACCTCCTTTGCCCAGTTGCTCTTGCAACGAGACTTCGATCCTTCAAGCACGCAGGCCCGCGGAGTAGAAAGAAGCGGCAGGTGGGCCTTGCGACACGGTCGGCCACAGAGAAGAACTCCATCTTCTCCACGAACATGGCCTGGCCAGCGAGTCGATCAGCCTCTCTTAGAGGTTACGAGTTCTAGTCCTCGTACTTCGTGTACTTCTCCCTCAACTCCTTGACTTCATCGCCTGAAGGCGTAGAGCCATCACACGAGTCCCAGCTTCTGTGCTCTGCACTTCAAGGGCGGCACAACTGCAAGTAAACAGGCTGGGCAGGCTGATGCGCTTCAGCTGCTCTCGAGGGAAGGCCTTACTTGGACCGGTACGAAGAGTCCGTAGGTAGACAAAAAAACTCGAATGCTTCTTTCTCCTCACGCACAGGGAGGAGGAAGTTAGGGGACCAGAGTGGCAGCAAGTGTACAGGAAATAGGTTACAGGCTCTACGATCGGGGCCACAACGGACCAATCTCGCACCGAAATCTGAAGCATACTGTATAGGTTTAGTATCAGGGTCATGGAGGGAGTATCTGCTTAGGAGTCATGCAGGGGTCATGTAAGGGACATACACAGTGTGAGATAATCTACGCTTCATAAGTCTTTCCACACGATCGATCTACAATGTCAGGGTCCTATAGGGAGCGGAGGGCAAGGCTACTCAGGGAATTGATGAGGTTAGGGCCGAAGGCTAGACAAGGATTGCGCGAGACGTAAAAACAGATGCTATAACGCATACACGATAAGTCCGTTCAAGAAAAACTTGCTAGGTCGACTTAATGCATGTAATATCCGTGAATCTCACACATTGCACATCCTGGCCGCCTGGCCGTTTACACGACTCCCATTGCACAACTTCAAGCAGCAACAGGCAATAGTAGTGAAGGGCAAAGGGGATGCAATCATTGCCCCTTTAATCTTCGGATGACCAGCACGGGAACCAATCCCAATCGCTCGGCTGCCGGCACGAACAGACGTCGATGATCGAGCTCCTGCCTGGCGCAGCTATCGCTTCGGCAGCAAAACGTTCCCAGCCCTCATTGCTTCATACTTCCCCATTGAGCCTGGGAAGTGACAGAGCTCATGGACGACACGATGCCCTTCTTGAACATGTCCTTCCAGTGGCAATGAATAGAAAGGCAAGCATCCCTCCACGGAAACAAGCTGTCCTTTGCTCTGCTGGATATCCGATCAGGGGGGGCCAGCGAGCGATCCGTCAGCACAGAGTCTTTGCTGGTGCTGCGGCTGCCGCTGGCACGCTCGGCGCGCTCCGCAGCGGCTGTGGCGCGCGCCACACGTGCTTGTGAAAGGGCTGTAGACAGGGATGCTGGGAGTGACTCTGTGATGTGGTCTTCAGCAGCCATGGGTGAAAAGGAAGTGCGTCTGTCCCGAGGCAGCTCCTCCACCACCGAGCAGCAGGCTAATTCGGAGAGGCCCATTCATACCAATAGCCCTTTGCCGGTCCTTTTCGAAGAGGTCAAGCAAGTTTGACGTTGAAAGCTCATCCTCTGGTGCACTTCGCCCCCGCTCCATCGGCGAAGCCTACAGCAGCACAGAAATGCTCACAAGTACTCCCAGAATCAGAAGCCTCACAAAGACCCTCAACCCTTAAACATCCCTAAACTCTCTACCCTAGAGGCCCTATCTCCTGATCCCTAGCGGCCCTAAGGCCCTGCAGGTGGCCACAGGAGGCCTGGGATTTCAGGAGCTCTTCGAGCGCCGACCCCGAGGAGCGGCCGCTCCTCTCCTGGAGATCGCAGGGCTGTGCAGCAGAGGCCTGTGATATAGTAATTGTAATATAAAAAAAGGCATGGAAAATGACAGTCATATACCATAGTGACTGTAGTCTACGATAGTTTACGGTAGTTCTGTTTTTTTACGATGGCTCTTTTAAGTGTGGCGTAGCATGGTAGAACAGCAGTGCCTGGCCTGCGTGCCGTTGTCTTGGACAAGGGCGGACTCTGTGGGGTGGCTATCATCCGCTGCTGTGCTCACAGCGGTGGTCTCCTGGCACGAGAGACAACCAGTCTGAGACGAGCTCAAGCAAACCATTCACAGTAGGAGCGACACTACATTTTCATGCTAAACACAAAGATGTCGAGGCTTCTCCCATCCGTGTGCCTGTCCTGGCTCTGTCCACTATCCGGAATCCCGGCAATGTCAGAAGCCGGCCTGCGCAGCCGAACATACTGCCCGGTATAACAGGACACCACTCCCATGACAATTCCTGGGCGCTGCCGGTTGCCGGAGTTCCCCGACCGCTTCATCATCCTGCCACAAGCTTTTCGGCTTCCTCTCTCCAGTAGCTCATATGGCAAACACAAACCGTGGGTGACCAGGCAACGCTGTCCTCATCAGCATCAAGCATGGCCTCAAGCAGAAAAGCTAGCCGTGACGCTTCTGGTAAAGCCGTGGTTTGAGATAGCTGCTGCTGATGCAAAGCAGCCGGGCTCAACGGCCGATCCATTCACTGTCAACAAGTAGTTTACTGAACTTGGTCTTGGCTCGAACCACTATCGACATCCATCTGCATTGTAAAGTCTCTTTGGAAACATGGCTCTTTCAGGCGATGCCCTCATGCGAGTTCCCAGTCTGGCTGTGTTAGGTGTTACTTCATGCACTCGTGGAGTGGAGTGCAGCTTGGTCCATGTCTGGCTCCTTGAAGCTGAAGTGTGACGTGACGTGGGCATTGGTACGGCAACAGGAGGAAAGGAACACCAACCCCAAGCTTCACTCTGCAATGAGCATTTTTTCCGCCGGGTCGCACCCGCCACCAGACACCAAGTCGTCATCCCTTGGGCACAAAGCTACCGTCCGGCATGAGAACCAATTCGTCATCCTCAGGTTCGAGGTCCACCTCACAAGCTCCAGGCGTCCCTGCGACGGCCTCGTAGGTGCAAAGCGAGACCTCTGACACATCCAGCAACCTCAGACAAATCATTCAGCCCTTGCGCAGTCAACAAACGTTTTTCCTGCCCTCCTCGCCGCAATATCAAGCTCAGCGACCCCACTTCTCCAGCGCAAGTCAGCCAGACCTTCATGGAACGTGCCGGACCAGCTGGACAGCGCTGGCCTCCAGTGTACAACATGGCCTTGCCCTCCCAGCCATCGAAACTGCCAACGTGGACGGATCCTTGTCGCGCATCCTGGAAGAAGCAGAGTTTGAAGTCCTTGCCCAAGAACCGTCTCTCCACACATTTTTCTACCAAGGAGAACCATCGAAGGCCGCTCTCCACCGCCGCCAGCTTCCTTTCGATGGCAAAAAGCCTACCTTTCACTTTGCGAGACTGTCTCGCTGCCTCTTCGGCATCTTGCTCGTATACATGCTGCAGCTCTGCACCATCGGAATTTCCAGATTCATCTCCACAGCATGCCGCGAAGGTATAAATGCCATCCCAGCACTGTGACCTTCCAAGGGGTCCCTGACTCCTGTCGCAGCAGACCTCCTTTGCGTTTGCAAACTCTCCCACCCAGCACTGGACTGCGCTCGGCTCGGGGACACGCTGCGGGACAGCTTGTACAGCCCACCGTGCATATTCAGAGACCACCGGACTTCCACTTGTTCCGGGCTGTGCTCCGGGCTGAGAGGCCACAGTCTCCACGCCTGCTACAGGCACCGTCGATTGCTTGGCGCTGGCGGCACTCGCGAGCAGCTTCTTCAAACCTGACAGTGTGACTGGGAGCCAGCAAAAACGAGCTGCGGACACTGCTCAGCTGAACATGATTGGAGGCCTTCCTGTTCCTCTCGCCATTCTGCAACCTGCCAGATCCAAGCGTTAACGCGCGGCCATGAGCTTGGTAACCCCTTGAGAAATTTCAAGAGCAACAAAACAAACCCAAGACGCTACTTTAGTTTCCTTGGTAACGGACAGCGCCAAAAGCTGCCAAGGATGGGAATGGACTACGTGAGCCCTCTCCCTCAGACCCAACTGCAACTGTTGTTATTCCCCAAACAGCGAAGTATTGGGGTTCTCAATTTGTTCAAAGAAAGGTATAGTGTGACGCGCCTCACCGGGGA